AGAATATGCTGATTGGCCAGGCCTGGGTCATATGACCCCTCCAAGCATCGGCACCAGCTGCGCGAGGAGCAGCCTGAGGGGGGACAGGTGGGCTCTGGAGGAGGCAGGGGGTTCCCTGTAAGAAGTTTGGGGGGGCCACCCGAGCCCCTCTGTTCCTTCTGTGGCTGACAAGTCTCAGGTGGCTTTCAGGTGCTAAGTGCGTGGTAATTTATTAAGCAGCAGAGAGAGAGAACGCACACCTGAGGTGGGGCGGGCCAGGCCCCAGCTCCTGTGGCCGCACTCTACCCAGCACCGCCAGAGTGTGAGCCCCTGACGGGAATCTTCCTCTTTTATCTCTTCTCTGGTGTCCCACCCCTTGGTCCAGCTAGAGTTGCGGTTGCGCTGTCAGTCAGAACCCTTCAAGTGCCATGGTGGAGAGGAGGCCTCGGCTTCAGGACACAGCAGGGTCCAGGCGTGGGGGTTCACTGTGCCAGGGATTCTCTCCTCCTGATGGCAAGGTGGGGACTTGCAGCACTAAGAGGCAGAGGGAAGGTTCCCCTACACTCCCGCCCTCGTTCCAAACGAGTCCCCATGTTGGTGCTTATTGGACTGTTTGGATCATGTGACCAAGCCCGAGCCAATCACTGGCCAGAAGGAGGGAATATGCTGATTGGCCAGGCCTGGGTCATATGACTTCTTCAAGCGTGGCACCAGCTGCGCGAGGAGCAAGCCTGAGGGACAGTGGCTTCTGCAGGGGCCCGGGGTTTCCCTGTAAGAAGGGTGGGGGCACCGGCCTCTTTCCTTCTCTGGCTGACAGTCTCAGGTCGGCTTTAATATAATTTTATTAAGCATCAAGAGAGAACTCACACCTGAGGTGGGGCGGGGCCAGGGCCAGGGCGGTACTCTACTCAGCACCTGAGTCCCTGACTGGAATCTTCCTCCTTTACCTCTCTGTGTGTCCCCACCCTTGGTCCCAGCTGTAGAGGAAAGTGTCAATGACGAGCTTGTTCTGTCAGTCAGAACCCTTCAAATCCCAGTGAGAGGAAGGCCTCTCTCGTCACTGTCACCGCGGCTTCAGGCACAGCGGGGTCCGGGGCGTGGGTCACTGCGCCCAGGGTTCGGCAATCTCAGGGCGTCTGTACGGGCAGGAGGGTGCGGGGGTCAAGGCCGCGGGCTCTGGAATCGGGTTGCCAGATAGAACACAGCACACCCAGTTCACTTTCGGTTTTAGAGAAAACACTGACTAGCTTTTGAAGGTATGGGAACGCCCCATACACATAGACGTTATTATATCAAAAAGTACTCATTGTTTATCTGAAATTCAAACCTAACTGGATATTCTGTGGTTGTATCAAATCTGGCAATGCTATTCTAGAACCAAGTGCCTGGACCTGAGGGTTGGCTCTGCCTCTGTGTGACCACAGAGAAGGTACTTAACCTCTCTGAGCCTCCTTTTCTCGTCTATAAGTGGGCAGATTAAGAATACTATGCATCTCACAGGGATGTGATGAGAGTGAAGTGACCACGTTGCCTATAAGTAGTGCCAGGTACATAGCAGGTGTTCAATAAACATTATCTGTCATTTTTTTAAATAGTCTCTTATCCCTTCTTTCTCTTGCATAGGTTTTCATCTTTGACTTTTTGCCTAAATTCCAACAAAAGGCCTGGGGAGGTGTGTCCTTGGCCAGGCATGTGCCCGTGTCTGAACCAATCACAGAGACCAGGAGAATGGAACATTCTGATTGGTCACACCTGGATCATGGGCCCACCCTGCAGCTGCTCAACCTGAACCAGGTGGGCTGAGAGTAGGTGGGTGGTGGTCGGTCCTCTGGGGAGGATTGGGGGTGCTAATGCTGGAGGGTTGGGGATGGGTTCCAGGTGGGCACACCCCTCCCCCCCCCCACACACAGCTGCTGGGTGTTTGCGAAGTGGCAGAATTCCAGGTCAGGAAGAGGTGCTGTGGCTGCATTTTGAGCTTAGGTCACTGCCTCCATTCTGGCATGGCTCTCAAGGCCTCTGGCCACCAGTCCCCGCAGGAAGGCAGAGGGATGAGAGTCTGTAAGAGTATAAGGCCTGTTTGAGGCGGGACAGAAAATTAAAGCATTGCTTGAATCTTACCTGGCAGAGTTCCTAAATAGAATTTCAAAGAAAAAATTTGTTTTTCTGGGTCTGAATGTTCACACATAATGAAGACAAATGAGACTTATTTGCACAAACACAAGAATTGAGTTCTGAGGGCCAGTCAGATTGACATGGAGGCAGACCATCTTTTGGGTAGAAACAACTTCATCTGAGATAAATCCTGTCTTATAAAATCGTAGTACCCTTGGAGCTAGCATTTCCTTTACACAGAGAGTCACCTCAAGGGTTGTGGCGGTTAAAGAAAAATGGTGGGAACATTCTTGACACTTCTCTTGGGCATGTCTATATCCCCTTCTCGAATCTGGGTGAGCTGGTGATTGGTTTGTTCTTTGGAGTCTGACACAGGTAACTTATAGGCTGGATAGGGAAACCACGGAGCTCTGCCTGGTTCTCTGGTGGGTGCTCACTGTGGAGGAGGCCCCCGCCATTTCAGACGTCTGACTCCCTCGAGGTCACCATGCTGGAAAAGTCACATGGAGGTGCTGTGGTCCCGGCAGAGCCTAGGGTTCAGCTGTGCTCGCCAAGGCACTCCCGGCATGTCAGTAGAGTTGCCTCTGATCCTCCAGGTTTGCCATCTGCCAGCTGAGCATCCTCGAGTAACCTCAGTGGACACCACAGGGAACAGAAAAATCACCCAGTGGAGTCCTGCCTGAATTCCTGACCCATGGAGTCTGTGAAATGTAATAAAATTGCCTTCGTTCCGTGCACTGAGTTTGGGGGTAGTCCTGCAGCAGTAGCAGTTGGAACAGGGCTCCTTTGAAATGGGACCAAGCTGGTGATGTCAACAAAGAAGGTTGGCAGAGCCATGGGAAACTAGGGACAGCAGGAGGCTGCTCTGTTGAAAGGCAGTGGCCGTTGGTGGGAGGCACAGGTGTAAAAGGACTGGCCCTGTAGCCGACTGTCTGGGTTCAAGTCCTGGCTCTGGGTGACACTGTGCAAGTTTCACTGTAAAATGGGACTAACCATGAACTGCAAACTTGGCAACAAGGAACAGACGGCTCAAAGCAACGGCCAAGGGTTCAAATCCAGATCACAGATGGATCTTGCTTGGCTCTTACAATTGCTGTTTTATTATTTGGATCTAGTGCCAATTTAGAAACTGGGAGATTTCACACTTCTTTTGGGAAAAAAGGGAAGATCAGGCAAGGTTGGGCCACATTCCTTGGGTCACCGATCGCCAGGTCACAGTGGCTAGCACTGAATGACCACCTAGCGTGGGCTGGACGTTGCTCTAAGGCTTCATGTGCGTTGATTTGTTCAACCTCAGGCAGCCCTACAAGGCTGTGTCAGAAGGGACTTTCTGGATCAATGATGAGATCCAAAGAGAAATGAGGCCACCTCAGTGGGTACCATGGTGGGGAGATGACGATGAGAAAGTGTTCTCTCCACCCCCAGCCCTGGCAAGACCAACCCCTGTCCGGATTTAGGCACAGCCCTGGGGAGAGAAGGAAGCCCCACCCATGACAGAATCACTCCACATCCCCAGGAGAGTGGGAGTTCATAAAAGAAGTGAATTTTGGTTATTGAAAAGTAAAGTCATGTTTCTGCAAACTCTAGTGTGGGCTGAGCGCCTAGTGGAGCGCCTGCTCCTCGAGCAAACCCGTGTTGAGGATTTAGGCTGTTCCGAGCATGCAAAGCATCCACTCATTCAGCCCTCACAACCGTCCCACAGAGAAGATGCTTTTAGGAACCCTGTTTTTATAGGGTGGGAGCCAAGTGCAGAGAGGTTGGCTCACCCTGGGTCGTACAGCTAACAGGTGGCAGAGTTGGGGTTGGGACACAGTCAGTCTGGCCGCAGACTCAGCAGTGTGCAATGCTGCCTGTCTCCATCAATAGCCAGTTTCCCGGCAAAATTTCCTGGGAAAGACAGTGCCCTTCTGTGGCCCACCAGAGGCCCCAGGTGGGGCAAAAACGCTGAGTATCCCAGGGTAGGAGTCCCCAGCCTGTGGACAAACAGAGCTTAAGGACCACTGGTGGGGACTGGCAGCCGAGGAAAGGCATTTGGGGAGGAGGCAGGTTGGGGCTCATGCCTCACCCAGGCTGGGATGGAGGAACTGACAGGAGTACTGCTCTGCACCCAGCAGACTGTGGTCCCAGCAGTTTCAGTAATGCCAGGTCCCCTCGGTGCACTGACAGCCGAACCAGGTGCCATTGCTGAGGGCAACGAGCTTGTTTTGGTCAGTCTGGGCTGTCCTGGTGGCTGAGGGCGTGGCTCCCACTGGAAGGTCTGTTGGGCTGTCCTGCAACAAACAGGGCCTGGGACTGCTGGCTCTGGGGGCTGCAGACACAGTTGTGTGGGCCTGGGGCTGGGTTCTGTTGCCTCTTCAGGGCTTAGCCACGTAGTACCAATAATAGGTAACGTTGCTATAGCACTTACCATATGCCAGGCACTGTTCTGGGGACATCATCCAGACCATAACCCCAGGAGGCAGGTGTCATCATTATCCTCATTTTGAAGATGGGGACTAAGGCACCAAGTTCCAGGAACTTCCCAAAGTTACACGGGCTAGTGCCAATTGCTGGTCTTGACTTTCTTGCTGAGCCTTTTGGAAAGAGCTCCAAAGAAGAATGGAGAGACTCCCTCTGTTAAACCCTTTTCTGTGGTCCTTTCTTGGGGGAGTTCCTGAATGTCTAGATGGATTGAAAAAAGAAAAATCACACCCCACTGAAAAAGATCAATTGCACGTACGGCTTCCAAGTCGCTTTGACGTTGTCACAAACTCTCTCATATGCTTGAGCCTCTAATTAGATTTGGAGTGAGAATCAATTCATGTGTCATGAAATTTTAAAAGACAACGTTCTGTGAATGGTAATTCCCATTATTCCAGCTTGATTGAAATTGTGGCTTTTTCAAGGGGTGCTATTTATACTCTTAAGACAATGGAGCTTTCAAAAGGATTCCGACTCTCAAGTCTTCATATGTGATTTCTAGGGAAGTGGAAATTTTCAAATTTTCATAATGAACGTGTCTTTGTGGTCTTTCTTTCTTTCTTTCTTTCTTTCTTTCTTTCTTTCTTTCTTTCTTTCTTTCTTTCTTCTTTCTTTCTTCTTCTTTCTTTCTTTCTTCTCTTTCTTTCTCTTTTTTTATTATTACATGTGACTTGCAGTGTCTCTTTCCTCTCCTTGATAGGAACCTCAGGTTCTTGCAAAGGATGTACCGCATAATTCGCTTTCCTGTTCAGACCCTGTTAAGAGTGTTTTGTAATGGCCGCGCAATTCTATTAGGCCTGGGTTCTTGCGGGTTGACCTTGCAAATTGAATTTAGGGAGGTCAGGCCTTCTGCCCAGCTGCCAGATTTCATGTTTCCCAGTTTGGGGAGAGGCCTGGGGGACGTGGGGTTTCTGGGCCCAGCTGTCACCCAGCGCTTGCTCTGTGCTTCGCTCCTCCCTTCCATCTTGGTGTCCCCCTCAGCCTTCCAAAACAGGAGGCAGCAGCCTGTGATCGATGGGTCCTGCCTGCTGTGGTGTTATTAGCCACTCTGTCAACAGGTGACATGTCATTTTTAGTATTCCATCTTCAGACCCGGGGTTTATTTTAGGTTGGGAGTTGGCCCCAGCCTTGGCGCAGAGATAGAACCACAAAAAGTTTTAGGATGTGGTTCTTAACCCTGGCTGCCGGGGAGCTTTTCAACAACATACCAATTCCGTGAGGATGCCTTCCGGGTGCAGGAAATGGTAACGATTATCTTTATCCATGCAGGGGTTACCTTGAATTTATGTGTACCCCAAAAATAGGCTTTGGTGAGGATCAGAGAGATTAGAACGTGCATTGGGGTGGCGACTATAAGGTGGTACGCCGTCGTGGGGAACGCGTGGCGGTTCCTAAAACATTAAACCTCGAATTACCCTATGACCTGAAAAGTTACACTCTAGGTGTACACCCGAAAGAATTGAAAGCAGGGACAGGACACAAAAAGATGTTTGTCCACATGAAAAATGTTCACAGCAGCACTGTTCATAGTAGCCAAAAAATGTGGAGACAGCAACCAGTTGTCCCGTCGACAGATGATGGATAAACAAAATGTGGTCTGTCCCTACAAGGAATAGTATTAAAGCCCTAAAAAAGAAATGAAGTTCTGACACATGCCCAATATGATGAACCTTGAAAACATTATGCTAAGTAACAGGTGCTGGTCCACAAAGCACACACATCCCTATACGCATCCCAGCTTTACCATGAAAACACTAAGAATCGCAAACTCATAGGAGAGCAAGCATAATAGAACAGAAGAGCTCTCTATTCAGGGGCTGCTGGGGAAGAGGTTTGGAGTTAGCATTTAATGCGGGACAGTGTGTTTCTGTTTGGATGATGAAAAGGTGTCGGACAATGGATGGTGGTGACAGTGTGCAAAACATTGTTGAATGTTCTTAAACGCCACTGAACTGTGCAGCTTAAAAATGGTGAAGTGTGTCGCTGGCGCCATGGTGGCTCCGAGCTCTGTAATCCTGCAGTCTGGAAGGGCCCAGGCAGGCAGATCGGCCCTCAACAAGGTCAAGGAGTTCAAAACCAGCCTGAGCAAGACGAGACCGTTCTTCTACTTAAAAATAGAATTATCGAGCTAAGACTAAAAAACATATAGGAAAAAATTAAAGCGGGGCCATGGTGGTGCATGCCTTGTAGTCCCAGCTAGCTACAGGAGGCTGAGGCAGAAGGATTGCTTGAGCTCAGGACTTTGAGGTTGCTGTGAGCTAAGCTGATGCTACGGTACTCTAGCTAGGGCAACAGAGCCAGACTCTGTCACAAAAAAAAAAAAAAAAAAAAGGATGAAGTGGCAAAGTTATATGTCTGTTTTACAGCGATAAAAAGTAATTGAGATGTAGACTTAAGATTTTTGCACTGGACTATACAGATGTTATACCTCTACTATAAAATACTGATTCGCAGGCCCCACTCTTAGCATTTCTGGTGTTAACAGCCTGGAGAAATGACTGGGCATCAATATTTTTAAAAGCTTACCCTGGGGAATTTCATGCTTTGGGGAAATGCCGGCGGGAACTCAGACATGAAACAAACTTTCAAGAATAGACAGAGAATTGTGGAATCACAAATCTAGGCCGCATGCGGCTCTATAAAGGCCGACGAGTCACAAGCAAAAGTGACATGTTGTTTCTAGGCAGAGCACTTAATGGCTGATGTGAGACTCTGCGAGGCTCTGTCTTCCCTTCGGGTCATGCCTTGACGTGGGGCGCCCTGTCCCTTGGTCCTGGAAGTGGATACAAGATTCCTCACCTGGCCTTGAATTGATGTGTGCGGAAGGATAAGGACATTTCAGAAATCTGAGTGAATCCTGTATAGCCTCATAAGGCTTGGGGCCAATAGTATCAACCGGCCTCTGCGGGTACCACCTTTGTCGAGTTTCTTGGCACTTTTTCCTCTTCGGCAAAAAGTCTGCAGCAGACTGTCGGCATTCACATCCTCACCACGTCTTAAAGCAATGGAAGATGTGGGGCAGCCGGTGCCGCGGTAACAAGTCTCTCTCGTGCGTTCATTCCTTTTTTTTTTTTGAGGACAGAGTCTTGCTCTATGTCCCTGGCTAGAGTACATTGCAACATCCATAGCTCACAGCAACCTCAAACACTCCTGGTAAAGTGGATCCTATCCTGCCTCAGCCCCCCAAGTAGCTGGGACTACAGGTGCATGCCACCACACCTGGCTAATTTTTCTATTTTTAGTAGAGATGGGGTCTCACTCTTGCTCAGGCTAGTCTCAAGCTCCTGACCTCAGGACATCCTCCTGCCCCAGCCTCCCAGAGTGCTTGGATTACAGGTGTGAGTCACCTCACCTGGGTGGTCCATTCTTACTTTACCAGGGGGAAATTTTTCCTCAGAAAGACCCTCAGCAGCCTTCCCCTCCAGTCCATTGGCAGAACTGTGTCTCATAGCTACTCCTAGAACCAGAGGAAACTGGGAAGCAGGTCTCTGGATTCTTTTCCTTTCATTTTTGTGTTTTGACATAATTTAAAATTTAAAGAAAAGTTCCAAGAATAGCACAATCAATTTCAGATATCTTTCAAACAAATTTCCCAAATGTTAGCATTATGTGATGTTTCATCCTTTTCTCTCTTCCCACATACATATATACACACACAGATGCACGCATCCACACGTATCAGCGGACACAATGTCCCTTTGTCCCTAAATACTGCATTCTGAGTTCCAAAAAACAGGGACATTCTCTGACGTTGCCACAGTACAATGATCAGGAAATTAACATGGAAACTGCTATTATCTAATCTACTGACCTTTTTCAAATCCTGCCAATTGTCCCAATAATGTCCTTTTTAGCAGAATAAAACTCCACGTCACACATTGCACTCTGTTGTCACGTCTCCTTATTCTCTGCAAATCAGAACTTCCTGGGACTTTCTTTACCTTCCGTGACATTGGTGTTTTGGAGAGGGCAGGCCGGTGATTTTGCAGCAGGCTCCTGGCGTTGGGTTGTCGGATGGTTCTTTCTGTTTGGATTCGTTTATGAACTTTGGGCAGGAACACATGGGGTAATGCTGGAGCTTTGTGGGTGCATCATATCAGGGGCCCCACAATGTCGATTAGTCCCCTGGATGGGGACCTTAACTTTGGTCACTTGGGTAAGTGGGAACTGCCGGACTTCTTCACCATAAAGTTATTATATTAATACTATTTAAGTATTGGATTTTTTGCCTTTAGTGTGAGAATGGCTATTGGGTTGCCAACCACAGAGTCCACTACACTCCTGCTCACCTGAGTGTGTGACCTGCAAGTTCTTCAGTCATCATTCATGTTGGGTGGAGGGGAAGGTCTTCAGGAAGAGGCAGATTTGATACTCTCTGTTTTAGCTACACTTTCTAAGGAACTTCTGGGGGCCAGGCCCTTGGGCAAGGCCTCACAGGCTACAGACAGTACTGGATGGCATTGCCCAACCTCACTGGACTTCCTGCCCAACAGAGAGAAGGAACTAATATTTCTTGTACACCTGCTATGTGCCAAGCCTTGGGTTAGCCATTTATGTCTATTAATACTACCTCATTCAAATTAGCGTATCAGTTCTGGGAGGCAGGTGCTGTTACCTGGATAATGGTTTACGGGCTGGGGGGGGGCTTTGTTCAGAAAACCATTCATAGCGTTCTTCAATGCCTGAGTCTGCCTCACCTCACTTGAGAACAGTTTTTTAAAAAGCATCTGAAATATTTTCCATATCAAGTGTTTCAAGGACCTAATTATAAACTTCATTATAATTGTTCATTAGTTATATTTTGTTCAATTACTTTAACAAGTTGCCAAATGGAACACAAAGCCGGCAATTAGCATTATGTAATTGTAATGAGACACTCAAATTGGGTTATAGAACATCATCTTTGCTGGCATATTTTCCCCTCGGAGTTAGACAAACCCAAGGCAGCAGCGGGGCTGACATCTGCTCCCTGGCTCCATCCAGGCCACGTGGGGTGAGAAGTCACCTCTTCTGACATACCTCTGTCAGGTTTGGAAAAACAAAAGCACTTAAGGACGGTACTAAACATGCTTTAGATGATGATTCTATCCAATTATACTGTAGTATTAATATATAAAATAATGTAAAATGTTACACGTGTATATATGCACTGCAGTTGCTGTTCTAGGCATGGCTGCATCATGTGATAAGTCATGTGACCTTCCCGCCAGGCCCCTGAGGTGGGTGCTAATCATTTCCCCCATTTTATGGATGAAGAAATCAAGGCACAAAGGTTGGGCTGTTTGCCCAAGGTCACACAGCGAGGGGATGCTGAGCTGGGCTCAAGCCCAGGTGGTTGGCTGACCGCTATTTTCTATTGATGTATTGAGTCTCAGAGAAAAAGGTATATTTAAAGAAATGCAATGACCCACGACATCCAACAGGAGAACATCAAGGACGACTTTGCTTTTTGGCCCCTTCATTGTTAACATCTGAATGTGTATTGGAGGTAGGCATGTGAAGGTGGTTTTTTAAAATTTGTCAGGACTAGATCACAACGCTGTCTCAAGTGGTTGTCCTCGACCAGCTGTGATGGCTGTGGGCACAGAGCACCCGGACTGGACAGGCTGAGGTCCCCTGCTTGGACAGCGTATCTGTGAGGACGTTTTGACTGGATTCCACTAACTAAAATATTCATCTGTTGAACTGAAAGAAGCTGGTTTGACTGCAAATGTTGGTCAGCTTCTTTGGAGGACAATGACAGAAACCTAACTCGCCTGGGCTAAGAAAAAGAGAAGACTTCATTGGTTCATGCAGCCAAGGAGCCCAAGCATGGATTTCAAGTACGGCTGCACCCAGGACCGCAGACAACGTTCTCTTGGTCGGCTCGGGCTGCTGTAACAGAACACCACAGGCTGGGCGACTTAGACCACAGACATTTATTTCTCACAGTTCTGGAGGTTGGGAGTCCAAGATCAAGGCACCACAGATCCAGTGTCTGGTCCACAGATGGTGCCTTCTAGTTGTACCTTCACGGGGCAGACAGTGGAGACAGTGAGAAAAGCAACTTCTGTCTCTTATTACAGGGGCACTAATCCAATTCACGAGGGCTCCACCCTCATGACCTTGTCTAACCCCCTAGAGGCCCTGTCTTCAATACCAGTGCACTCGGAATTATGGCTTCAACACAGAAATTCAGTCCCTAGCAGATGTCATTGGCATGTTCCCTCCTTGCCAAGGTGCTGCTGTCCTCTGTGTTGGGCCACCACTGGGCCAGCTCTCCTCACAAGGCAGCAAGATGGTCCCCCGCAGCTGCATGTGCACTGTCATGGAGGAGGCACGGGCGGCTTGGCTCTCACTTAAGGGAAGAGTCTGCCGTTCAGCAGCCAGGAGTGCAGTCCGCTGACAGCCTCCACCTGTGGCCCCTTCAGGGTCTGCATTGGCTTTTGAGCTGAGGCCCTGATGCTCCCAGGCAGTCCCGGTCAATGACGGAGAGCAGTGGTGGCACGAGGGCCTGTCATTGTAAAGGACAGTGTTTCCTCCAGAGCTCCCACTGTGTGGGTGTGGGCAGATCTCACTCCTTTCTGCTTCCTCCACCTGTTATCTTTCCCGGGAATCACCCCCAAGGTCGGTTGCCCTCCTCACTTCCTCTCGGTGTCTACTTCCTGAATGACCCAACAAACACCCTGGGATCATTGTTTAAAAGGTTGGCCTTCCTGGAGGCAAGGAACATTGCTTCACTGAGAATTCCAGCCAATCTCCCAGGCCCGACTCTCATTGGTTGAAATCGGATTACATGTCTGTCCCTGAACCCTCCCTGTGAATCTGATTGTCCAGGTGTGGGTCATGTGACCACTTGTGGGTGGGATCATCCCTGTCCAAACAACTTGACCCTAGAGTTGTAGTTCCCCAGAGGAAATGTGGGTCCATTTCACAGAAAAGAAAGGGAATGGCTGCTGGTCAAAGACAGCCGCTCTCCTTTGGAACTTTGTGAGTTCAGAGGACCTGGCTCTTGGCCATCTTGCCACATCACCTCATTTGGGACTCAGTGTCCGTATCTATGAAATGGGCATATGGCAGAGGGATCCCTGCTCTGATTCTTCATGTAGGCCTTTGTGAGGTGAGGGAGGAGACACTGTCCTAGCCTCTTGCCACTCTGAGCTGACAGGCTGAGGGAAGGACTTCCTACCTGTCCTAGCCATGGCCTCGTAGGGGAAGAGGTCCACCGCCTTGCACTGGAAGCTTCTGCCTTCCTCCAGAGGCCCCCGATCCAGTTGGAACTCAAGGCCAGTTTTGAGTGACGGATGCAGAGGGTGTGCTTAGCAGATGCTTCTCTGACAGCCATGGTGACAGCCCCAAATATGAAACAGTGAAACCCTTCTGTCATACAAGGTCACCTGCCAGAAATGCCAGGCTGAGGATGGGGTGGGGGGAGCTGTTGAAACAAATGTATGTAAATAGGCCTGTTGTCTCTTGCTGTGGTCTGAATGTGTCCCCCAAATTCTTATGTTGAAACCTACTCCCTTATGTGGAGGTATTAAGAGGTGGGGCCTTTGAGAGGTGATTGGGTGGTGAGGGCTTCACCCTCAGGAATGGGGTTAGTGTCCTTTTAAAAAAGGCCCACGGGACTTGTTCCCCCTCCCACTACGTGGAGGTGCCCCAGAAGGGGCTGTCTATGACGCGGAGATGGAGCCTTCCGGAATCCGCCGGTGCTTTAATCTTGGACTTCCTGACCTCCAGAATCATGAGCGATACATTTCTGTTGCCTGTAAACTACCTAGGCGGGCGTATTGTGTTGTAGGGTCCTGGACTAGCACATTTCCCAGGGGAGCCTTCTTTAACATTTAAATTATTATTTTTTCAGTTGATAAAAAATCTAATGTTTTAAAATTCAGTTTCTGTATAACATTCCATTGTGTGAATGTTTTGTAATTAATACCCCTCCCTTATTAATGGACATTTGGGTTGTGCCCCATCCTGTTCACCTATGACCCCTTAGCAGATGTCCACCTTCCTTTGCAGGGCTGGGCTCGGTGCGTGGGAGGGGGAGGGTGCAGCCAGCGCCTCATCTGGGAACTGCCTCCCGGGGTTTCCTGAAGCTTCTCCTCTCTCCTTGCCTCTAGGTCCCCCTGTCTGTCTGTGTCTGTCTCTGTCTCTCTGTTTCTGGTTCTCACTCTGTCTGTCTGTCTGCCTTTCCCTCACTCTCTCCCTCTCAGCTGATCTCTGCTCACAGCTCTCCTAACAGCATCCATCTGGGCGCCGTGCTGTTATCGTGAGCCTCTTCCAGATGGTGGGACGACTGCAGTTGATAGCTTGGCGTGCTAATGCCACAGGGCTAATTCTTAATAATGATGAAATGTGATGTACAAAACCACCCTCTCATCTGGACTGGTTCAGTACCTGGTCAGAACAGCGCTGTCCGTCCGCTGCAGTGCTGGCTGCTGTCGCCGGGACAGATGTGATTCTACTAGCGCTGGGGTGATCTGCAGCCTCGGTCCCCTCCCGGTGCAGTTCCAGACTCTGGAAAGTCGAGGTTATTCAAATCTGGGACTTGCGAGTTGCAAAGACCAGAGTCCCTCTCGGAGAGGCTCCAGCCACGAGGGAGCTGACGGTGAGCGCAGCGGCCACAGAGCTCAGGTCCCGCATGCAGGTGCACGTGCAAGCCAGTAGGACCACCAGTCAGGATACCTGCATGTGAGTGACAGAGACAGATCAAGCTGAGTCACGTGGAAAAGGAATTTATTGAAACAATACATGAGGAGCTCACTGCGCTGCTGAGAATCTACAAAAATATAGTCCCCAAACGGGTTGTATGGGGATGTGCAAAGAGAAGCACGCCATAGAACTAGCCTGGCGGGGCCATTGCTGCTACTGCTGCGGGCACTGGGCATCAGAGCCAAACGTCACCGCTGCCCTGCTGCCCCTGGACATTGGACACTGCTGCTTCCACCAGTACAGCTCTCTCCTGTCTCTGCCTCTTCAGCCCAAGGGCTGGCTGGCCTAGCTCTGCCTCGCGCTCACGTCCCCGTCCGAAGGGAGGCAAGGTATTAAGTGAACGGACTCTGGAGCCAGACCGGGTTTGAGTCTGGGCTCTGCAACGCATTATCTGTGTGAGCCTGGGCAACGTGTGTGCCTCAGTGTGCTCATCTGCAAAGTGGGGATAATACAGCCATGCCCACCACCACAGAGGGTTGTGTAGACTAAATGACGGAATATATGTGAAGCATGTAGCAGAGGCAGCTGAATAAGCATTTTAAGTTTTAGCCATTAGTATGATTATTATTATTTTAGAAGGATAATTTGGCATTTGTTTGTAAGGCAGTTGCTGTTTCTTAGGAAGACTCAGTGGGGGATTCTCCAAACGTACAAAGTGGGGTACGTAAGACAGGTGTCTACTGCAGTATTCCCTTTCCATTTTCTATGACTCATTTCTATTTTGAGCCCCAGTTCCTCTGTGGTTTCCTAAAATCTCAGTCAATCTGGGGCCTTCTCTACCTGTTCCCTACAATTATTTATATTTTTTATGTTTATTCTTATTTTTTGGGGGCAGGGTCTTTCTCTGTTCCCCAGGCTGGAGTGCAGTGGCATCATGATAGCTCACTGTAGCCTCAAACTCCTGGAATCAAGTGGTCCTCCTGCGTCTGCCTCCCAAGTAGCTGGGATTACAGGCATGCACCATCAGCCTGGCTAATTTTTCTAGTTTTTATAGAGATGGAGTCTTGCTATGTTGCCCATGCTGGCCTTGAACTCCTTGGCTCAAGCAATCCTCCTGCCTCAGCCTCCCAAAGTTCTGGGATTACAGGCACGAACCACTGCACCCGGCCCAATGTTTATTTTTTAAACATTACATCAGAATGCCTTAACGCAGAGCATGCATTCTCCAGTTTACCACATCTGCACCCCTCCCTGTGTCCCCCACAGACCCCGCTTTGCTCATTTACGTTACGTGACTTGGTTTCTGAAGATGTTTGACTTTATGATTGCAGCACCTAAGAGCTGGGGGTTTTGAGAGACACAACTGTAGGGTTTTGTGTCTACTTTCATGGACGTCCCTTCCCCATCCTGAGACGATAACCACAGGCGCATCACCTGCTCGATGGGGGGGAGGACACAAAGAGGACACAGTACCGTCCAGCCACACACATACAAGGGCCTCTTGCGGACGGGACCCATGCAGGACACGTGGCTTGACCTCTTGGGCAATGGACAGTAGTGGCACCTGCTCTCTCTGGGGCGGCTGGTTTCTCACCTCTGCCCCATCTGCGCCTCTGATTCCCTCTTCTCCTAGAGTTCCTTCCGTGGGCCTGAGCCCATTCGTCGCAGCGCTTCCTTTGTTATGAAATGAGTTCCCAAGCAATGCGCTAGCGGCTTCCCATCTGTTTCATTCCCGGGGACGCTGGGACAGTTAGTCTCTGCCAAAGCTCCCGCAGGCCACAGCACGCCGACCACAGGTGTGTCCCGCATCCTGGACGGTGGGGGTGCTGCATTGTCTCTGGGGGCTGAGCGCCACTGCTTGGCCTAGCTGTTGGGAGCCCACCTCCGTGGTGGCCCCCACCCCAGCTTGCACCCTTGCCACACCCGGCCAGCAAAGGAGAACAGCCATGGACATTTCTAGAGGTGCAGGTGTTGCCCCCACAAATGCATTTCTCAACACCCCAGTGAAGGAAGTGTTTTCTGGGCTCCCCTGGGGGACGCAGTTGCTGGGTAGGTGTGCAGGTTGCCATGGCAAATCCTTCCCAACATTCCAGCCCCCCTTGGCTTTTCGATCCCTCCACATCATGCCAAGACAGCTCTGGCATCTCCATGCATTACACGTGGGCCACCATCGAGTCCTCATTCCAACCAACCAACCAAATAAGCATTTAGAGCCACCACCAGTGACCTAAGCTAACACGTCATACCCCAACTCTCTAGTCACTGCACCCAGGTCGGCCCTATCTAGGGTTATAACCTGCCTGCCTTGGTCTGACACCTCGCTCACCCCTCGGGTTTCTGCCAGTCCATATTGGCAGAATCTTGCAATTATCTCGGTGTAAAAGCTCCTTTGCTCTGTGTGTGGCATGTGTGGGAAACACAAGATGCTAGTTATGGTTCTGGCGCCACCAGGGGGCAGTCGGGGGGGGGGTTCTGAAGGAGCACGGGCATCTCCCCGAGTGGCATCTGCTCAGGCGAGATGATGGCACAGGTTTCAAGAAGACAGCAGCTCGTCTTCTCGGACCCAAGAGAGCAAACAAGTTTGGCCAGGAGACTCAGCATGACTTGGGGACTCGGAATCTCAATTTCATCTGAGTCTATCAAAGCCTTGAGGCCATCGTCACTGCCGTAGGGTCAGGGATGCAGCAGCCACCCGAGGTCCCGGGGCATGTGCTTCAGTCAGCACCTTGTCAGAATCAGCTACAGGTGACAACTGCACTGATGGATGTGTTGTGAGGTCCCCACATGCCTTGGGTCACTGGCGCCCTATTTCATATGGTCAAAATCCCAGGACTACACTCAAGTCCACAGGCATAACCAAGCCAGTCTCCAAATCCCACCTTGGAGGGTCTGTTTCCAGACCCTCTCTCATAACCAGTTCTGCATCAGCCAGCGTCCAATCAGGATACAGAGACCACCCCAGTAATTCGAACAGGGAAAGTTCACGATAGAGAATTATTAACTAGTAAGAGGTGCTTAACTTACCAACGGGGTCAGAGAGGACTGTGAAGGGGTCCAGAAGTATCAAGTATAAAAATGTGGCTGCTACTAGGCTGAGGGGAGGTGGGTAATGAACAGCTACACACCCGGAAGAGCTATCCTACTCCCCAGGGCTGAGAAACGACGTCTTGAAAGAGGATATAGCTCCTGCAAGAACGTGCGGGTCTCCTGGAGTGGAGAAACTTTTCAGAGGACAAAGGCTGCAGCTGGTGCATCTTTACAAACATGCAAAGAAGGGTGGGTTTGGAGCAGAGCAATGGTAAGTTGACAAGTAGAACAGGAAGAAGACATGGGCGACTGGGAGGAGAGATTTTGGGGGAATTTTGAGGAATGAGAGGAGGTATGGAGTGTGGAGGATGTGGATGAGGGAGGGAAGGAGAATTTTAGGAATATTTCTGTGGACCACGCATTGTCTTTATGGCAGTCAAGAAATGCAAATAAGGACTGTGCATTATTTTGGAATTCCTTTTGGTTGATGGTTGGAGTTACACTGACCGCGATACCATTTTGAGACTGGAACACTTGGATCCTGGGTTTCTAAATGGGTTACAACAGTTTTCTCTTTGTCTAAAGCAGTAATTTACAATGAAAATGTTTTTCTTCTTTTTTTTTTTTTCACTGTCCCAGGATTCCTGTTTTATATTATGGGCTCTTGTCTTTCCATGGGTCGGACTGGGGATTTGGAAGTCCAGGCTTTAGTTCTCAGTCTCAAGTTTCATCACATACTGTGTGATGCTCGGCAAGTCACTTAACGTCTCTGAATCTGAGATTTCTCATCTGACAGATGGGGCATCTAAAGTCTTCCCGGGCAAACTCTCAGGGGTGTTGTGGTGATGAGATGAGATTGTGTTCACTTATGTGGAGCTGTCTGTACCCATCCTGGCATATCAGCAAGAAATGTTTTTACTTGCAAACACCAGCAGACCTTACTGTTGTGGATCAGTAAGAACTTATTTTTCTCATATATCAAGAATTTTAGAGGTGGTTATCTCTGAGTAATGGTAAACCTGCTTAATGATGTAAGGGCTAAAAAATCTCTGTGAGTCTCTGGGGCTTCTCCTCATGGTCACAAGATGACTGCAGTGACTCCAGCCATCAAGGCTACATTTAAGCAGGAAGAAGGGCCAGGGCCTGGTAAGGCACTTTTGTTCTTTTTTTAGGTACACGAAGATATTCCCAGATTATCTTCAGACCTCTTTGATTTCATCTCACTGGACAGAGTGGGTCTGCAAGAGACTCTGGAGAAGCTAGTGTCGAGCTTTCCCATCTTTCTAGAGTGAGGAGGCAGGGGAGAAAGAAGTTTGGGATGGGCGTGGGATTAAGCAGCTGACGGTGTCTGGAATAACTGGCAAGTTCTAGATGGCACAAACTGAGCTTGTTTGCGATAGAGGGGAAACAGCCAGTGGAAGATTTTGATTCCCACCCTGTGATTGCTGCTCCCGTTTATTTGAGCCCTTTCACGGGGCCTGGCTACATTTGAATAGCTATCGTCTCACTTCGGAGGTGGAATTATATTAAAAATCAGATGCTTGTCATTATGCAAATGGATGTCTCGCTATTGCTTAGGATTTTCATTTTTCAATGAATTATTCCTTTTCACTGCTTTTTCCCCCTTTCCCCATGGAAGAAAGAAAAACAACCCTTGGCTGATCAAAGGAATTTTCCAATCATTCAGTCAACGGATGGTTATGGAGTGTCTATCCAGGGCCAGGAACTGTTAATACGGATCTGGGAAGCAGCGATGAAAAGATACAGTTTCTGCAGAATGAGAGCTTATATTCCAGGGGAGGAAATAAGCCACCAGCAAGGAGATTAATAAGCCCAATAATTTATGAGAATAATACATACTCAGAAGAGAATAAGACAGGGTGGATAAATAGATTTGTGGTGGGGAGGACTTCTTTAGATGGGGGTGGTGGTCACAAAGGTCTTGGAGGAGGTGACATTTCAGGAGAAACCTTAACTATGCAAGGAGGCAAGCCATGCATGGTTTG